GCTGTACGTCAGGCTGCAGGTCTTCTCGCTCGCAATGCCATCTGTCGTGCCGCACCATCCTCTCTGACTTCTCGGGCCATGATTTCCCGTTCGATTGCACGGTGCGTTTGGCGAGGTGATGTTCGTCTTGCCCGTGCCCTTCTCTTTCAGCACCCCTGGACACAGAGTCTCATACGTGTAGAAGGTGAGGTAGTTTCTTTCATTGACCCGGGTGGCTTGCATGATCTCCATGGTCTGTGGCAACAGCAGGAAGCAGAATCTCGTCGAAAAGCGTTAGAGTCAGAGCTCAACCAGTCGTCGTCCACCACGGTCAAGGCTCGTCTCGCAGGGCGTCGTCGGGCGCTCATTCGGTCTGCCCAGTTATGGAATCCGCTTTCAAGACGTAAGTACTTAGCGTCGGTCGCGGCCACGGAGATGATCTCTATTTCAGAGATGCTGGCGGGTGGGTCCCTGGCATCGGAACTAGTTCCTCCCTCCCAGGCCCCGATGGTGGACGCCCTGGCCTCGCACTGGGGCCCTGTGTTCTCCAAGACCCATTCGGTCCCCTCCATCGCCCAGAAATACATCGACCGATTCAGCAGCTCGGAGGATTTCACAGAGGTTCGGCCACCCGTCCTTCGTGATGTGGAGCGCGCACTTGAACAGTCGAATTTGTCCGCCCCTGGCCCCGATGGGCTTCATTACGCGGCCTGGTGGCGTGGATCGGGGGCTCGGGTTCTTCTTGCGGTCCTTCGCTGGATTGCCCTTGGGAATCTCATGCCATCCAATTTCACGGCGTTGCTCGCAGTCTTCCTCCCCAAGGACCCCAAGACCCCTTCCCATGATCCTGATGATGATGGCGTTGTTCGGGCCCCTGGGGATACCCGCCCGCTAGGTCTCAAGAACTCCTCGAACAAAGTGGTGTGCAGTGTACTGAACCAGACACTTAGCTTGGTGACGCAGAAGATTGGGGCCCCATCCCAGCGGGGCTTTATTCGGCGGCGCAACTTTCTGGATAACATTGTCGACCTGGACTTTTATGCTCGATCGGCTAGTATTATGGCTGCTGTATCATCCCAGGCCCCTTCGTTGATCGCGTTCGACTTCGCCCAGGCTTTCCCGTCGGTCTCCCAGGATTGGCTCTTCCAATGTCTTGCCCGACTTCGCATTCCAGCCCCACTGGTTCGCGCTCTCCGCTCCCTCTACCATTGCACCCCTTGTTACTTCGTTGGCGACTCCCCGACGTACCTATACCACATGAACTCTGGGGTGCTTCAAGGCTGTCCGTTGAGCGGCTCGCTTTACGTAGTCGCGAGCAACCCGTTCCTCCTGGACCTGGAACACTGATTGGTCGCGCGTGGGCGTCTGCTGGGTGTCATTCGGGCCTGTGCGGACGATCTTGGGGCGGTCCTCTTCCACAACAGAGCCCATCCCCGTTTGGCTCGAGTATTTCGACATGCTTCGAGGTTTGCTCAGTTGCGTCTCAAGCCAGCGAAATGCAATGTGATACCTCTTCGTGATCCTTCTATGCTCGAACATGGAATCATACTTCGACGCCAACTTGTGTGTGCAGACCCGACCTGGGCCGATTTCGCGATCGTTCCCGCGTGCACTTATCTTGGCTTTCAGATCGGACCTGGTGCCACCGATGACAGTCAATGGACGACACCTGTACTCAAGCATGCTACTCGCACCACCGCGATCTCGACGCAGGGCGCTGATCTCTCCACGGCTGCAACACTGTATCGACAGCGAGCTGCCCCCACGCTGTCCTACGTGGCCCAGCTGGTTCCATTACCCTGGCGAATCGGGCAACAGCAGCGGTTCCGCCTCGCCCGCCTCATGCGCACACCCGCCAGTATGTTACGGACCGCTGACTGCTTCGCCCTGCACACACTGTGAATGGCCCTAAGTTCAGCTCTATCTTCTGTATCGCTGCCGCCGTACGACTCCGTGCGGCTTTGGTCACCTGTCTGACTTGGCGTTCTCAGCTGCAACGACATCGTGAACTTCTCTGGGGACATGGCACGTTCTCCCAGGCTACCAGTGCTATCTTGGTTCCGAGCTACTGGTCAGCGCCACCTTTTGCCTGCCACTTGGAAGAAGCCGCGCTGGGCTTTCCGTCGTCCTCACAGCTGAGAACTGGTGGGCAAATTGTTTTGAGCCTTTTTGGCGTGCAGGGAACACTTCCTTCCCCGAGGAGGTGATCGCGTTCTTTCGCGCTGAGCCCGACCCCGCGACTCTCCCATGGAGCCTCGCCCGTCGTGTTGCAGTACCACCCGAAGCTCACGTTGCACCACTACTTCGAGCCCCCAAGTGGCAGGCCGCGTTCACCGACATCTTCCAGCGCGCGGTCTTTCCTGACCGACTTCTGGAGCTACTCGCCCTTCGAGTTCGGCGGCATTCTGGGATTCATGATGTTTGCTGGCCCACTGTCCTCAGTCAACTACATCTTACGCCAGCATCTTGGGCATTCATATGCGTGCGATCGTTCCTCGGAGGATGGATCACCCACCGCCGAATGCAGCGTGAGGCGTGGTGCATATATGGCTGCGGCGGTCCAGACACGATGCGGCATTATCTTATTGAGTGTGGTCGGTGCCTTCACTTCGGCGCCCTCACTCTGCGTGAGGATCTCCCAGCCGAGATCGGACATCGACTGGGATTACGAGGACCGACTCCAGCTGCTCTTATAGCCTGCTATCACCACTATCGTCTGATGGAAGCGCGGCACATTGCCCCTCCTACCTATGCTCGCGCTCTCGAGCTGGTCCCTGCGGCGCAGATCGCCCTGAGGCTCCCGCTGCGTGGTCGGCGACAGCTGGCTCTTGCACGGCGATCCACTTTGCGTGAGTCCCTCGAGGCGGCCCGCCGATTCTGTGAGTTGGATGACCCCACCTGTGAGGCTCGGGGCATGGAGGTGGTAGGGTTCCCGTCGCTTGCGTCGCCTTTGCCATCTCTCTCGTTGCCCTCTCATGCGCTCCCCTCTGTGCTTGGACCCTCTCGCGATGACGAGCTCATCTCATTTCGCTTTGTTGACTACGACATGCCTCGTAATCTAGAGGGGATCAGAGTGCTCACAGCTGAGGAGCAAGCCTCATTTACAGGCGCGTCCCAGGCACCCTCCTTGTTGGAGACTGCTCCCTCTCTCCCTCGTTCCTCTCGCCCCAACGTTGAGCCCTCTCCTCTCGACCTCATCTCTTTCCGCTTCGTTGACTATGATATGCCGCGTAATCTTGCAGGGATTAGAGTGCTCACAGCTGCTGAGCAAGCCTCATTTACAGGCCCGTCCCAGGCAGGTTCTGTCTCCCCCTGTGCCACCGGTGAGCGACGACCTCATCGAGAAGGCACCCGCGGCTTGCTCTCTCAAGGCGGAGGGCTGCGTGGGAGACAGGGGAGGTGAGTAGGGAGATGACGGATTTCCCCCTGTACGCTCCGCCTCCTCCTCCTCCTCCTCCTTCTCCTCCTCCTCCTCCCCCTCCTCCTCCTCCTCCTCCTCCTCCTCCTCCCTCCCACCTCCTCCTCCTCCTCCTCCTCCCTCCTCCTCCCCCTCTCCTCCTCCTTCCCTCCTCCTCCTCCTCCTCCTCCTCCTCCTCCTCCTCCTCCTCCTCCTCCTCCTCCTCCTCCTCCTCCTCCCCCTGGGCAGCGTCTTCAGACGTGGAGGCCCGGCCTCCGTTCCCCACGGCGCCATGGGTGGCCGGCGTGCCGACGGCGGCGCAGGAGGAGGCGAGGGCCGTCAACGGTCCATCGCCATCATCATCACCACCACCATCATCATCATCACCGTCATCAACACCAGCGCCTCGCTCGAGGCATCCTCAAAATTTACATCATCATCATCACCACCACCACCAGAATCATCATCAGCAGCAGCAGCATCATCATGATCGTCGCCGTCATCATCACCATGTTTCTCCACTTGCACTATAGGAGTCCCAGTTCGAACCCTACCACCCCGATTCCTATGCCCCCCACCTAATTCCTAGGGCTAGGCCTATGCCTATGCTCCCCCCTCACTCCAATGATTACGCGTATACCTATGCCTATGCCTATGCACCACCTTTGAGCGTTCCTCCCCTTTTTCCAATAGCATTGGCTTGCTTGCTCTTGCGTGCTTGCTCTCGCTCGCTTGCTCTTGCTTGCCCTTGCTTGTTTGCACTTGATCGCTGGCTCTTGATTGCTTATTATTGCTCGTTTGTGCTTGCTTGCTTCCGTTTGCTTGCTTGCGTTTGCTTGATTGTCCTTCTCCCGTCCTCCTTTCGTCCTCCTCCCATCTCCTCTCGTCCTCCTCCTGTCCTCCTATATATTTGGACGCTGGCTGATATTGTCATCAGTTTTGGTGTTATCATCATCACCATCATCATCACCATCATCATCATCATTATCATCATCATCATCAACAGCACCACCATCCTGCTCATCAGCATCACCACTAGCATCATGATCGCCATAACCATAATGTGGGTAGCGACCCTGAGTGTGACCCTGAAGAGGAGGAGGAGGATAATGGAGGGCGGTGAGTGACCAGTCGGCGCTGTCAGAGCAACGACACGAACGCAATATTAGGGGATGGAGCGGAATCAACCTCATCATCATCATCATCACCATCATCATCACCATCAGCATCATCATCGTCATCATCATCATCCGAGTCGTCATCATCATTGCCAGCTTGCATCATTATCATCCTCATCATCAACATCACCATCATCAACATCATCATCAGAATCATCATCATCATTATCATCATCATCAGCATCAGCATCATCAGCGTCGTCGTCATCAACGAGAGGAAGAGACAGAGGAGAATGTTGGAGGAGGAGCCGGCGCGGCCGAAGTAACAACAAGAACCTCCTCCTCAAGATGTGGGGAGTCACTCTGGCAGGTATGATGATAAGCAGCACCAGCAGCACCCGCCTCACGGCGAGGTAAAGGAGCAGCAGGCGCAAGAGGAGAAGGAGTCGGACGATTTGCAGCAGCAGCAGCAGCAGCAACAGCATGAGAGAGCCGTGGTCTGGGAGGTGACTGACTTCGGCATCAGCAAGCGCATGCCCCTTGACACCGAGACCGTCGCACCTCGAATGTGCGCGGCTCGGCTTTCCTTGGCGTCCTTGCATCCATCCTCGTCCCCTTCCGGGGAAGAAGAGGCGAGGGGGAAGGAGGGCGAGGCAAGGGTAAGGGGAATGTGAACCAGGGAGGGATGGAGGGAGGGAGGGATGGAGGAAGGGAGGGACGAGTGCCGTCACCTCCTGTTCACCACCACCGTCGTCGCAGCAGACGATTTGGCAACCGCTGGGCCTGACCAGAGAGCTCCTGCCTCGCGCCTCCCATTTCTCTCCTATTATTCCCCATCGCGCAGCGAGTTGCCTTCATCATTACCATCATCATTATCATTCTCTTTACCCAGCAGCAGCGAGGTGCAGTCATCAGTCTCCCCCCCCTCCCCCCTCCTCGTCCTCCTCCTTCTCCTCCTCCTCCTCCTCCTCCTCCTCCCCCTCCTCCTCCTCCTCCTCCTCCTCCTCCTCCTCCTCCTCCTCCCCCTCCTCCTTCTCCTCCTTCTCCTCCTCCCCCTCACCCCCTCCTCATCCTCCTCCTCCTCCCCTCCTCCTCCTCTCCTCCTCCTCCTCTTCCTCTCCTCCTCCTCCTCCTCCTCCTCCTCCTCCTCCTCCTCCTCCTCCTCCTCCTCCTCCTCCTGGCGAAGCCTACGGGGGACCAAAGAGCACTCCCCGAACACATGCCCCTATATTGGAAAGTGCCTCCTGGGGCCTTTGGGGGCCTCCTGGGGGATAGAGGAGTGGGGTTGAAGAGGAGGTACGAGGGATGAAGTTTCTGAGTGGTTCTTGCTTCTGGGGCCTCTCTGGGGCTTCTGGGGGCCGGGGCAGGCATCTTAGGGCCTCGTGGGGGCCTTCTGGGATGCTCTTAGGAGCCCGCTGGCGATCTCGGAGGCCGTCTTGAGAGGAAAGGCTCCAAATGTCAGTTCGCTTCCCCCCTCATGGACCCTTCCTGGGGCTCCTCTTGGGCGTCTTGAGCAGTTTTGCGGGCCTCTTAGGCCGTCTTCGGGGTCTCTCGAGCCGTCTTGGGGCTCTCCCAGGGCCTCTCGGTCCGTCTGGGAACGATCTCGAGGGCCTTTGGGGCCGTCTTGGGCTGTCGGAAGCTCGGAAAAGCGAGAACTTGAAAACCATGCAAAACGCAGTGGAAAATCAATGATGGTTGCTTCTTGGGGCTCTCTTGGAGCCCTCTTTGGTCGTTTGGGGGGCACACTGGGGCGATCTTGGGTCGTCCTGGAGCGCTCCTGGGCCTTCTTGGGAGCTTCCCGGGCCGTGGGCCGCGCCCAGGATTTAGTCAGGCCTGTCCCCCTACAGGGGGATTTTCGACTACGACAAAAAAAATACCCCAAAAATAATCCAAAAATAGTCCGGGGACTATTTTGGAGTACGTTTTACCTTTTGGGAGTATTTTGGGGGTATTTTGCATTTCTCGTCGAAAATCCCCCTGTAGGGGGACAGGCCCGACGTAAGCCCAGGAGAAAGCCATCTCTGACCTGTTTCTGTCGGGACTCTGCCGGGGCACATTTTCTCCAGGGATCCCCCACCGATGGCCCGGCGCGCGCGGGAGGTACGGCGAGGGCGTTCGTGGAGGAATAGTGCCCAGGTGGCTTCAGACCCCAGAGGATTCCTTATCAGATGAGGGCGGTTGTGTTATGTCGGGCTTGTCCCCCTACAGGGAGACCTTCGACGAAAAATAAGAAATACCCCAAAATATTCCAAAAAGGTTGAGAAAATACTAAAAAGATAGTCCCCAGATCATTTTTTGCTTGTTTGTTTAATAAGTTTGGGGTATTTTTATTTTTCATCGGAAATCCCCCTGTAGGGGGACAGGCCCGACTTAACGGTTGTGATATCCATGGTCAAGCCTCGATTGGTGTTCCGCCAGCTTTCAGACTCTGGGTTCCTTATCTACGGGTTCCTTATCCAGTGCCCTCGCCCTCGCACTGTCCCAGGAGTCTGAACCTCTCTTTACTGGAGGTCCCAGCACGCCTCAGATTTGCGGGGCCGGCGAGTTGTTGCACACTCTTCGGTGCATCACGTCCTTTTCCTCCTCCTCCTCCTCCTTCTCCTCCTCCTCCTCCTCCTCCTCCTGACGTCTCCCCACCATCAGCTTCCCAGAGGAGATTGCTGCCGAGAGCGTCGCCAAGGACGAGGACCAGCAAGCCGAATTCTTCCCAGCGCTTCGGGCGGATCGTCGGAGGTCGTGGGCTTCGTCTAGTTCCAGCAGTTTGTCACCCGGGGCAGCGTGTTGGTGAAGCCGCCCGCGTGTCTTGTGATGACGTGTTGTTCTTCACACGCACATTGGACCGAGGTTTAGAGCAGGTGGTCGACAGCGAGTCTGATGAGGACATGCTGCGCCGCTGGTTTCTGAGAGGAAGTTGTTGTTGCCACAGTGATCAGGGAGTAAATTCTCGTCAGGCATACTTCATCCCGTCGCCTTCAACAAGCAATCGGCATGCGCTAGAATGGTTCTACCTCGTGCCACCTACGAGGGGATTGGAGCTGCATTGACAGCTGAGGTCAACCTGACGCAACTACTCGTAATTGCTCGTTCCTTTCAATAGGGTGCGCCTCGGCCTGTAGACTGGGTTGCGCTCGCGAGGTTCGCAGCGAACATAACAGAAAAACTGCCCGGACCGCATCCAGGGACCCACGGAACGTTGCTGAAATTGCCATTAGGCGAGTTGGCTTGCCAGCGGAACTCAGCTGAAAGGCTGTCTGCTAAATTGTATCGCTTGCTCTGGCAAATTCACAGCAACATTGCGCGAAATCCGACCTCCTTCTCTTAGCTTCGAAGGTAGACCATGAGAAGTGTTTGTTTGCACCCGAATGTGTCCCAGTTGCACTTTGTGTTCCTGGTGGTAAATACAGGGACATATAATGCAAAGTCTTGCAACGTACTGAACTAGTTGAAATCAGCGCAGACGTATAGCAACGAGTTTAGTCGCGCATTGTTCCAGAAACAGTAGTCTCGTGGTTCCACATTGCCGCAAAGTTTTCACATGTTTTCACAGTCTTCCCCCGAACGTAGTCCTCCTCCTCCTCATCCTCCTCCTCCTCCCTCCTCCCTCCTTCTCCTCCTCCTCCTCCTCCTCCTCCTCCTCCGCGGGGGGGCGAATTAGAATCCCAGCGTAAGCTTCTTGGGAGTATTCCTGGAAGTGTCCTGGGAAGCCTGCTCTGGACACCTCGCTGGTATGCCTGCCTGCGAATATTGCATTTTGCTCTTGGAGCCAATTCTCATCGATACCCCGAGTGGGTGGCGGCGTCCGTGGGGCTCCAGACTTGTTACCTTCTTCTCGCTTGCTTGTCCCCCTGCCCTCCTCTCGTCTCTCGTAGCGGAGTGTCCCTCCTCCCCTTTCCCTTTTCCTCCTTCTCCTCCTCCTCCTCCTCCTCCTCCTCCTCCTCCTCCTCCTCCTCTTCCCTCTCCTTCCCTCCCTGCCTCCAGTGCCTCCCTTTTCCTCCTTCTCCTCCTCCTCCTCCTCCTCCTCCTCCTCTTCCTCCTTCCTCCTCCTACTCCTCCATCTCCATCCCCTCCTCCTGGCTCCTCCTCCTCCCTCCTTCTCCTCCTCATCCTCCTCCTCCGCCTCTCCTCTCTCACTCCTCCTCCTCCTCCTCCTCCTACTCCTCCTCCTCCTACCCCCTCCTCCCTCCCCCCTCCTGGGGCATCGCCCTGGCGCCGCGCGGGCCTGAGGTCTGGAGGCGTTGGCACCTGGAGGTACATGGCGCCGGAGGTGGTGCGGTACGAGCAGTACACCGACAAGGCTGGCTGCCTCCCTGCTCATCCCCCTCCTCCTCGACCTCCTCCTCCTCCTCCTCCTCCTCCTCCTCGACCTCATCCTCCTCCCTCCTCCTCCTCCCTCCTCCTCCTCCTCCTCCTCCTCCTACTCCTCCTCCTCCTCCTCCCCTCTCCTCTTTATCCTCCTCTCCTCCTCCTCCTCCTCCGCATCCTACTCCTCCTCTTCTCCCCTCCTCCTCCTTCCTCTTCTCCTCCTCCTCCTCCTACCTCCTCCTCCTCATGCTGCGCTTCCTGCTCTTCCTTCTCCTCCTGGCTGGAGCCCTCCCCCCTTACCCCCTTTCCCCGGCCGGCTGCCTCCCTGCTCTCCCTTCTCGTGGCCGCTCCCTCGGCTTGGCAGTCGATGGGTATCCCCGGACATGATCGCGTCGCAAGAGAAAGTCAGGACGGGAGGTGTTCGGCCATTTTCGGCCTCGGGGGGCCCTCGCCGGGCCTCGGGACCGCCAGAAAAGGATTCGGGATGAGAAGCCGGTCCCGGGGAAGGGGTCGGGAGTTCCGGGGGCCCGCGTCCTGTTCTGAAAAATCCGGACGTCGCATGTCTGGGTCTTCTCAAAAGCAGCCTCGCTTCTTAGAAGGCGCCGGCCTGCTCTGCAGAGGTAGGGCCAGCGCCTTCGAAGGAGCAGCCGCCTTCGAAGAAGCCTGCCCCCCTCCCCCTATACCCCCCTTCTGCGCGCCGCCAATCCCTCCTCCTGGCCGCTCCCTCGGCTCCTGCGGTCGATTGAGAGGTGGAGGACGAGGGGCGGGGATCCGCTGCCGCCGCCTCGCTCGATCGGGTCAATTCGGTGCTCGAAATTCGACGCTGCCGCCTGCGAGCATCGTTCTCGTTGGCCGAAGCGCTAGAAACGCTAGGGGCGGGGATCAAGGATCAAAGTTGAGGCTTCTGGACGTCTTCTGGGCCTCCTGGAGGCTTTCCGGCCTCGGGATGTGTTCTAGCAGCTGCGCCTCGCCGACCACATTCCTCGCGCTGCGGCAGAAAATCACGGCGCAGCTAGCTCCTCCTGCTCCTGCTCCTGCTCTTCCTCCCTCCTCCTCCTCTTCCTCCTCCTCGTCCTCCTCCTCCTCCCTCCTTCTCCTCCTCCTTCCTTACTCCTCCTCCTCCTCCTCCTCCTCCTCCTCTTCCCTCTCCTTCCCTCCCTGCCTCCAGTGCCTCCCTCCCCTCCCTCCCTCCCTCCCTCCATTCCTCCCTCCCCCCCTCCCTCGTTTTTGTTCCCGCTTTCGGCCCCCGAGGGCCTCACTGGGCCCGAAGGCCGTCAGAAGACACTTCCGGGGGGAGAGCCGGTCCCTGGGGGAGGGGTCCAGGCCTCGGGAGGGCCTCGCTGTGAAGGAGTCACGACGCGCTGTTCTGGGCAGGTGGGGGACAAGGGGGGGAGCATCGAGGATCGAGGTGGACGGTTCGGGGCGTCTTCCAGCGCCTGCAGAACCTTCTGGGGCCCCACGGGAGGGCGGGGGACGAGCAGCTCGAGAAGGCGAAGGGGGAGGAGAAGGAAGGAGGGGCACGCGCGCCGAGGGTTGGAGGGAGAGCACCAGGGGGCAGACGAAGAGGAAGGGTGGGGGAGAGAGCGAGTGGGACTCGGAAGGGGGCGTGCCAGGCGGGATGCTCCCCTGCCCGGTCGTGCGTTTCCCTCCCTGGCACAGCGCGGGCGGGCTCCAGTTTCGTCTTTGCCGGCGGGGTAAAGGGGGGGGGGGGGGGCGAGCCTCTAGCTGGGAGATACGCTCGGCACTGTCACTTGCAGATTCGCCCCCCGTGCAGCGAAGAGTGCGAGAGGCACCGCCCGAGCATCGCGCCCAAGACATCGGCACGGTCGGCGCATCGGCACGGGAGGAGGGGTCCGCGGATGGGGAGAGGCGAGCTCCAGACATGAGTTAGCGAGGAAACCTTCAGGGAGGCGCAGGGGCTGGGGAAGGGGAGTGGTGGGGAGGGAGGGGGAGGGGAGAGGGAGGGGGAGAGAGGGGGCAGTGGGAGAGACGAGGGACGGGGAGGTGAGAGGGATATGGAGAGAGAGAGAGAGGGAGACGAGGATGAATGCGCAAAAATACCAATGAGCAAGCACTGACGCACTGCCTTTTGTGCCTTACAGCTGGATCAGCATCACAAGGTCATCGCGCCGGAGTTGGTACCATTTGGACACGCGTTGCTCTGCGCAGGGCGAGAGGTGTAGGGGGAAGGTGGAGGGTGAAAGGGGGAGGGGGAGGTGGAGAGGGAGAGGGAGGGGGGAGGAAGATGGGGGAGTGGGGGCGGGGAGGGGGCAAGGGCAGGGGATGCTCTCTGACCGAGAAGCCTTGTCCAAGCCGAGTCCACAGTTACAGAGTGGCATCGCCTGGTGCTAAGGCGACTGGGAAGGGCCGCTCAGCATGGGAGAGTCTGCTTAGTTCGGGACAGCCAATGTTTGAGGGGAGGGGAGAAGAGAGGAGTAGGAAGTAGGAGAAGGAGGGTGGTGGAGGCGAGAGGGAGGAAGTCGAAGACAAGGAAACAGACGAGGGCAACTGCGGAGCTTTGGGTGAGGAATGGGGGAGGAAGAGAATGGTGAGGAGGAGGGGGAGGAAAAGAAAGGGCTCGTCGTTCCAGAATGCCTTGTCGCTGGCCTGGGCTTCAAGGTTGATATCTACTCCTTTGCTCTCATCATGTGGTTCATGAGCACGGGCACCCAGCCCTTTGTCGAGGAGTTCGGCAAGGACGCGGGACCACGGGAAGCGGCGGACCAGCGTAGACTCCGCAGAGAGGGGAGGGGTTCACGGGCAGCGCCCGGGGACGAGAAGCAGGATGAGGGCGAAGGAGCAGGACAGGAGGGGGAAGATAGGGAGGATGAAGAGGAGGAGGAGGAGGAAGAAGAAGGGGAGGAGGAGGAGGAAGAGATAATAGGGAGTGCGAGGAGTTACTAGAAGCGGGGCGCGAACCCGCCGGGAGGGCTTTTCCCGAGGCAACGAAACGTACACCCACATCGTGCGTTCGCTGCTTCGCACGAAAAAAGTGCGCATAGAGATCACATGCGCAAAGACTGTCAGGCCTTGAGGTCCGGTTCGCTGCAACGGTTCACGCTCGGCATTCTCGGCCAGTCTCGGGGCCCAGGGCCCTCGCAGGTCGATCTGGCCCGAGCAGCGCCGCAGGAAGAGGTGGTTGGACCGTGATGTCTCGCGATCTTGCAGGCTCTTCGTAACGTCGGATCTCAGGGCGTGAAGCCTTCCTGGTCTTGCGCGTCCGTTTCCTCCTCCTACCACTTGTTGTCCTCCTCGTCATGCTCGTCATCGATACCAAAATTATCCACATCATCATCAGCATCATCATCAGCAGCAGCATCCCTCCTAAGTCTCTTCCTTGTCCTTATCAACATCCTCGTCACCGCCATCATCGTCATCGTCGTCATCAACACGCCGTGCCGTCCATCATCGCCATCATCATACCGCATCGATTATCATCAGCATCATCATCGTCGTCATCATCATCACGATCATCATCGTCTTCATCGTCCCCGTTGTCATGCCATCAACATGATGACGACCATACGGCGTCGAACGCATCGGATCTCTTCACCCAGTGCCATGAGCAGTATTGGGGAAGATTGCGCGGCTTCAAACTTGTGGGAAGTACTGCGCAAGATTTTGACAGTTTCCCACCTCTGGAAGAACGTTGATTTGCAATATTTGCGAAGCCTAGTGCGTAATTGCGTGATTCCGCATAATGAAGTTCAAGCTTCATAATGCTGCCCAGCCAGTGCGAGATGTTGTTGACGCCTGCTTCCGCCCCGTTGGAAGGCAGCCCACCGCCACACCACCAACCATTCAACCTCTGGCCTGCCGTCGTGGCACAATCCAAAACACATAGTGGTCAGCCTCATCATGATCATCATCACCACCATCATCACCATCATCATCAACATCACACTCACCATCACCACCACCACCACCACCATCATCATCAGCAGCATCATCAAGATCATCATCAGCAGCATAAGAATCATTATCATCAACCTCATCATCATCAGCATCATCATCGTCAACTCCGTTACCATCATCGTCATCGCCATCGTCATCGTCGTTATCATCATCATCACCATCATCATCACCACCATCATCATCAGCATCAGCATCATCATCAGCGTCATCATCATCATCAGAATCATCATCATCATCATCATCATCATCATCATCATCATCAGCGTCATCATCAGCATGATCATCATCATTATCGTCATCATCCGCTCGTCCACCCCCTCCGATGGGACTCATCTCGAGGCGCCGATCCCCCTCCTCGTCGCCACGGCTGGCTCCTCCTCGCGTTGTACTGGAGCCTTCCTTGTCGCCCCATGCCGATGGTGTGGGCACGGCTTTCGCCGCGAGTGCGTCGTAGAGGGTGGTGGGGACAATCGTCGCCATCATCGTCCTCATCGTCATCGTCGTCATCATCATCAGCAGCAGCATAAGCAGCATCATCATCATCATCATCATCATCATCATCATCATCATCATCATCCTCATCCTCATCCTCATCCTCATCCTCATCCTCATCATCGTCGTCATCATCGTCATCATCGTCATCTTCGTCATCATCGTCATTATCGTCGTCGTCATAATCAACACCACCATCCTTATCATCATCAGCAGCAGCAGCATCATAGTCATCATCAGCAGCAGCATCATCATCTCCATCGCCATCACCATCATAACCATCATCGCCATCATCATCAGCATCGTCATCATCAACGGCATGGGCATAGTCATCATCATCAGCATCATCCTACTGATCGTCATCATCGTCATCGTTATCATCAGTATCATCAGCAGAATCATCATCCCCAGCATCATCAGCATCATCATAATCATCAGTATCATCATCGGTCTCATCATCACCCCCATTAGCCTCATCATCAGCCTCTTCATCAGCAGCATCATCATCATCGGAACCATCAGCATCATCTGCAGCAGCATCATCGTCAGCATCGTAACCAGCCTTATCAGCATCATCCACATCATCATCAACATCAGTAGCGTATTCATCGTCATGAACAGCATCATCAGCATCAACATGGTCATCCGCATAATACTCATTTCCAACCACAGCAATAATGAAAAAAACACCAGCAACAACAACAACAACAACAACCATTACACCAAAAAGAACACCAGCATCATCATCATCATCATCATCATCATCATCATCATCATCAGAATCAGAATCAGCATCATCATTCACAACAGTATCGTCAGCAGCATCGTCATCGTCATCCTCCACTAGATGGACGCCCCGCGAGGGCGCCCCCGAAGCCCGACCCCGCCCGCGCCGCGCGGCGGAGGACGCGGAGCTGGTACTCAAAGAGTACCTCAAGGCCCGTGCTGTGGCGCCTCCTCTTCCGCCTATTCCTCCTCCTCCTCCTCGTTATTCTCCTCCTCCTCCTTCTCCTCTTCCTCCTCCTCCTCAGCCTTCTCCCCCTTCTCCTCCTCCTCCTCCTCCTCCTCCTCCTCCTCCTCATCATCATCATCATCATCAGCATCATCATCATCACCCTCCTTCTCATCCCTGCCTCCTCCTCCTCCTCCTCATCCCCC